TAATGTCTCTCCCTCCGTCCACCTGCCAAGTTTCAGGGGCAGGTTGGGGACCGGACACGGCCTCAGAGAGCCGCTCAAGCCTCCCAGCCTGGTGCCTCTCTCTGGCCGGGGCGCCCCAGGTGTAGCGATGTCCACCCGGTGCATCTCCAGACTCGGTTCCTTATGCCACCGCCTCCATCAGCCCCGCCCCCACGCTCCCTGCTCACTCCCATCATCTCACTCTGGCAGGGCCCAACGCTCTCCACCGCTCTGCCGCGCAGGGCCTCCTAATAGCACGGCTCCAGGTCCTGCCTGCGCTTCCCCAGGTGCTCAGACTCTGTTCCGACGGTTGACTACTTCCTGCAACAATGATGAGTCCCATCGACAGTGGCGCTTGACAGTGCATTCAGCCTCCTCTACTCCAGCAGTGAGCCTGAATTCATTTCCACATTCCCCTGTCGGTGTCTGTTGCAGTGCTTCCTGCCATGTAGGAGGGGGTCTTGCCCTTGGCCCCGGGGCCGCTTCCTGAACCAGAGTCCAGAGCACCTTTTCAGGGAAATTATTTCCTCCTTCGTTTTGTTTGTTGTGTAGCGTAACTTCATCCTTTTTGTACTCAACATAAAAATATGCTCAAGGTGCATAAAAATATGCTCAATACGCCTGGGTGGCTCAGTCAGTTGAGTATCCAACTTCAGTTCAGGTCATGATCTCACAGGTCATGAGTTCAAGCCCCGCATCAGGCTCTGTGCTGACAGCTCGGAGCCTGGAGCCTGTTTCAGATTCTGTGTCTCCCTCTCTCTCTCTCTGCCCCTCCCCTGCTCACACTCATATTCTGTCTCTTTCTCAAAAATAAATAAACGTAAAAAATATATATATCAAGCTCCTTATGGTTAAAGAAGGTCAGTAAGTTCCCGGCTCACATAGCCCCCATCTGCTCCCCGTGCACTCACGTACTCACTGCTCAGGCAGGCGTTGCCCGGAGCTGCCCCGAAGGTCATCCTGCATGTGGTTACAGCGTCTTTGATGTTTCTTGGAGTGAGGTAGATGGATTCCAGACTATGCAAACTTTAAAGTTTTTTACTGGATAGTTGCCACTGTGTTCTTTTTTTTTATTTAAAAATATTTTTTTTTGTTTTTTTTGTTTTTATAAAAAAAATTTTTTTTTTAACGTTTATTTATTTTTGAGACAGAGAGAGACAGAGCATGAACGGGGGAGGGTCAGAGAGAGGGAGACACAGAGTCTGAAACAGGCTCCAGGCTCCGAGCAGTCAGCACAGAGCCTGATGCGGGGCTTGAACTCACGGACCGCGAGATTGTAACCTGAGCCGAAGTCGGCCGCTTAACCGACTGAGCCACCCAGGCGCCCCTGAAAAAATGTTTTTAATGTTTGTTGCTTATTTTGAGAGAGAGACATTTGACATTTAACCTTGCGATCCAAGGTGGAACTGGAGTCTGTTGTGAGATACGAGTACAGTTTTGCATTTCCAGTGCGACACCTGTCTTTCTGGCTCCATTTACTGTGTTTCCCCTTCTTCAACGCCCCAGCTTCTCTGCCCTCTCTGCCGTCCGCCAAAGCTCCCTGCGTGTGTTTCCCAAAGTCTCTTCTTTTTCCATTGCTCGTTTGTCTTCTCTGTGTGCCAGTACCACAGTGTGTGAGTCTGTGATTCCGTGGCAGTACTGTCATCTGAGATGGTAGGTGTCCTTCTCTTTATTGTTGCCTGTTTGACCCTTCATACAAGTCCTACCATCAGACTGTGAAGTTCCTTGATGGCCCAGTTGGCATTTTATAGGGAATTGTATTGAAATTTTTTTTTTACTCATTTGGGTAGAATTGTCAGTTTTATGTGATAAAGTTTTATTCCCCTGGTTTTGTCAAGTAATAATGGACCCACATCACCGTACGGGTTTCCCCACCATGTGAAAGTAGAGTGATCCTGTGAAACTTTTCATTAGCCAAAACAGCATTTATTTATATGGAATTTTTTTTTTTTTTTTTTTTACTATTTCTATACTTAAAAATCATCTCTCTCAGGGTTTTCTGATGCCCTAGGACACATCCTGCTGACAGATGCCCAAAATAAGTGGAGAGAAAGCACAGGTGCTCGCAGACACAGTTCAGAGCTGTGGCGGCCCAATGTCAGGGACTGTTCTGGTGAAGGAGCTCGGTGGGCCACCTCTGCCACCCAGGGGGCCCACTGCCTCTGTGACGGCTCGATGCGACAGACGCTGAACACCATTTTTGCTTTTTGTGGTTTTCGTACGAGTGAAAATCTTTGAATTTCTTTCAGTTAGTAGAAACAGGTCCTGATGTCAGTGTAAGTAAAGGAAGGAGGAAAATTAAAAAGGAAAAAAGGTTTCTTCTTGTGGTGAGAACTGTTGCAATTTACTCTCTCATCTCTGCTCTGTGTCACGGCAGGCAGGAGTAGCTAGGGCCCTCGTGTAGTACGTCCCGTTCCTAGCCCTTAACCTTGGAACTGGAAGTTTGTCCCTTTCAACACACCTTCCTCTGACTCTTCTGACCCCCACATCATACTCTTCATTGACCCAGCTCTTTCTTCATGTCTTCAAGTAAAGTATTATCATTTTCTCCTCTAGATCCATGTGTATTTTGCTGGTCTCTTCCCCAGACTCAGTACGTGCAGCCCAGTCCTGCTTACCTCCTGCCGTGTCCTGGGAGTCTTCACTGTCCCCTTCCCACCCGCTCCCCCCTCCCCCAAGAACCTTGGGAATCCTGTTCCCTTGTCTCCTTTCTGTCCCTGCGTTCTCATCAACACCATCCTCAAACTCTTGGTCCCCTGTACATTCTGTCCCCTGAGGTTACTGTACCCTGGGTACTTCCTCTCTGGGGCGACTCCTGTGCTGCCAGTGGGACCCCCATCGTGGGCACCTCCTACTGGAAAACTCTCTTGATGTCTTTCTGAACACAGCCAAGCTCAAGGCTAAGAACACAGAACTCCCGAGAATGCCAAGTCTTCCCAGGTCATCCGAAACCAGTGGGAGTTCAGAGATTTCCCACAACTATCCTTAGATTTGACACATTGTTAGAAAAACTAGAAAAACTTCCTAAAATCTGTTCTTACTCTGCCCTCAGTGTTTTTTTGTATGTTTAGGTTTTTGTTGTTGTTTTAATTTACGTCTAAGCTAGCATATAGTGGAACAATGATTTCAGGAGTAGATTCCTTAATGCCTCTTACCCATTTAGCCCTTCCCTCCTCCCACAACCTCTCCAGCAACCCTCTGTTTAAACTCCACATTTAAGAGTCTCCTTTGTTTTGTCCCCCTCCCTGTTTTTATATTATTTTTGTTTCCCTTCCCTTATGTTCATCTGTTTTGTCTCTTAAAGTCCTCATATGAGTGAAGTCATATGATATTTGTCTTTCTCTGACTAATTTGGCTTAGCATAATACCCTTGAGTTCCATCCACGTAGTTGCACATGGCAAGATTTCATTCTTTTTGATTGCCATCTAATACTCCGTTATATATATGTGTGTGTGTGTACATATATACACATGTATATACATATATATATATACACACGTACATATATACATATACACATTACATATACATACACCACATCTTCTTTATCCATTCATCCATCGATGGACATTTGGGCTCTTTCCATACTTTGGCTATTGTTGATAGTGCTGCTACAAACATGGGATTACATGTGTCCCTTTGAAACAGCACACCTGTATCCTGTGGATAAATGCCTAGTAGTGCAATTGCTGGGTCATAGGATAGTTCTATTTTTAGTTTCTTGAGGAACCACCATACTGTTTTCCAGAGTGGCTGCACCAGTTTGCATTGCCACCAGCAGTGCAAAAGAGATCCTCTCTCTCTGCATCCTCGCCAATATCTGTTGTTGCCTGTTTTTTGTTTTTTTTTTTTTTAAAGTTTATTTTTGAGAGAGAGGGAGAGAGAGTTTGAGCAGGGGAGGGGCAGAGAGGGAGGGGGACAGAATCCAAAGCAGGCTCCTGGCTCTGAGCTGTCAGCACAGAGCCCTACGCGGGGCTTGAACTCACAAACCTTGAGATCATGACATGAGCCAAAGTCGGGAGCTTAACCAACTGAGCCACCCAGGCGCCCCTGCCTTCAGTGTTTGTTACAGATTAAGGATACAGCTTACAAGCAGGGCCAGAGGTGTTCAGACACAAAAGTTCCATGTCTTCAGTGACTTGTTCCCTCCTGGCATCCGTGTATGACAATAACGTGCACAGATATGGCCAACTTGGGAGATTGGCCACAGCGTCACTATTTCTATTTTTATTGAGCCTTCATTACATACGCGCAATTGAGTTACTCTCCGTGGGACTCAGTCTCTAGCTCTTTTTCCTTTTCCAGAGGTCCAGCTGGTATCTTGTGGCTCAAAGTCCCAACCTTCTAATTTCATGGTAGGTTTTTCTTATGTGGCTGGACCTTGCCTCAAGTTACCTCTTTAGTACAAACTGGAGGCCTGTAATGAGTTACCTGCCGTCCCAAACTAAGGGATACATTCCTAGGTGCCCATGCGGGATGTCCACGCATAGAGGTATCTTGAAGCACACAGCACCATAATTAGACTACAGACGCATGCACAATGGGATTGTGGTAGTATTTCCCCTCAGACCTCCTGTCCCCTTGCCTGGCTTCTCCTGGGTCTCCCTTTCAAGAAGTCAACAGTCCAAGATCCAGGGGTAAAAATCCTGAGATTCAGAGGTAGTAAAACATAACAGAGATGGGCCCTGTTTTCATCTTCATTTCTTTCGCTGAAACGCTAGTTTTATTTTTCCCATGTCGTCATTATTCACAGGGCTTTTTGTGTATGGGGTTTCTTTCAGGTGACAAGGACAAACCCAAGACCATGGAACCCACCACTTGTGATCCAGCCCTGCCTAAGGGGGCCTCGTTCCAGGAACTAAGACGTGGTGACCCAGGGCACTGTCAGCTGGGCCAAACCAAGGATCAGCGTGGACCGTCAGAAATGCAGGAAGGACACTCGAGACCAGGGTTCGAAGCCCAGAGGGAGAAGCTCCCTGAGAAAATGACCCCTGAACATGGTGGTTTAGGGACAGCTGATGGAGTGTGTTCGCGGATTGCACAGGACCTGGTCCCCCTAGGTGGTGCCATCCGTGACCGTGACTCATGTGGATCGGGTAAAGATCCCATGATTCAAGAAGAGGAAAATGCCTTTAAGTGCAATGAATGCGGGAAAACTTTTAATAAGAAGCACCTTCTTGCTGGACATGAAAAGATTCACTCTGGAGTGAAGCCCTATGAATGCACTGAGTGCGGGAAAACCTTCATTAAGAGCACACACCTCCTCCAGCACCACATGATCCACACGGGGGAGAGGCCCTACGAGTGCATGGAGTGCGGGAAGGCCTTCAACCGCAAGTCCTACCTTACACAGCACCAGCGGATTCACAGCGGGGAGAAGCCTTATAAGTGCAACGAGTGTGGAAAGGCCTTCACCCACCGCTCCAATTTTGTCCTGCATAAGAGGAGACACACTGGAGAGAAATCCTTTGTGTGCAAAGAGTGTGGGCAGGTCTTTCGACACAGGCCAGGTTTCCTCCGACATCACATCATCCACACTGGCGAGAATCCCTACGAATGCTTCGAGTGTGGCAAGGTCTTCAAACACAGGTCCTACCTCATGTGGCACCAGCAGACTCACACTGGGGAGAAGCCCTACGAGTGCAGCGAGTGCGGGAAGGCCTTCTGTGAGAGCGCGGCCCTCATTCACCACTACGTCATCCACACGGGGGAGAAGCCCTTCGAGTGCCTGGAGTGCGGGAAGGCCTTCAACCACAGGTCCTACCTCAAGAGGCACCAGAGGATCCACACCGGGGAGAAGCCTTTCGTGTGCACCGAGTGTGGAAGGGCCTTCACCCACTGCTCCACTTTCATCTTGCACAAAAGGGCCCACACTGGAGAAAAACCTTTTGAGTGCAAAGAATGTGGGAAAGCCTTTAGCACTAGGAAGGACCTCATCCGACACTTCAGCATCCACACCGGGGAGAAGCCCTTCGAGTGCTCTGAGTGTGGGAAGGCCTTCAACCGCCGCTCGGGGCTCACGAGGCACCAGCGGATTCACAGTGGAGAGAAGCCCTATGAGTGCATGGAGTGTGGGAAATCCTTCTGCTGGAGCACAAACCTCATCAGGCAC